TGGTATAGCAAGCAACCCGCCGAGTCACGCAAAAGTGCAAACACATTTTGGACTCATTGGCCTGAGATGGATATGTATGCATATATGCGCGCTTAAAAACCGACATGTAGATAAAGCCCAGGGTCAAACGTATGCTAATATGCAAAATACAACTACCAAGACCCCAATGGATAAAAACATAATGTGGTGTGATGGGATGTTTGAAAGGAAATAAAGCCGATTAAATCCAACAAAAATTGTTGCACATCGTCTTTAGCCGCCTAACTGCAGGAACACCGTATCAAAAAGTTCCTGCAAGACTATGCCTTAGTCGTAAGCATATCATTACGTGGTATGTTTGCTTTCATAACCACAGGGGTCTAAATTTTCTTTGAGTGGTGACAAAGCCAGCTCTCTTCAACATATTTGCTTTCGTGCCTTTGATGCGTTTTTTGCGACTTGATGTTGATTTTGAGTCAAATATTGAGGGAACGATGTTCATATTGAGATAGGAAACGCCTCCGATGTTTGCATCCACTTGTAGCGAACAGATGGCACGCTTCTGCTTTTCACGGCGCGGCGAAAGTAAATTGGCGGCTAGGTGTGTGCTAAGGACACTGGAACTATTCCGTTGCAAAATTCATCTGTAGTTTGGATCTACCTTACAAGTTCAATACACTAAGGCTTTCGCGTCTGTTCATCCCAGCATTTGTGCACTTCATACATGGCGCCGAGTTAGGCCCCTGCTCATTAAGACAAGCGTGAAAGTGGCTGGAGTGTATTTTCAAAGAGCATTCTACGCTCTGGATGCTGGATCCTCCACATTTAATAGTGCAACTTCCTGCGGAAAAACGTTTTTGCAATGCCTGCAAGTCAAACTCATCTTAACACGTAACACCTGTTCGGGAACACGCATTCCTTAGCATTGTATACAACGCAGTGCGTCGTCTCATTTTCACGCAACGGTAGAACAGTGACTAGGTGAAGGATGGCGAGCAGTTCCCGTTTGAATTCTTTTTGGGAGGTTTTGGTATATACTCAAGCCATCTCCACACCAACTCAATACCCACCCACCCACCCAGCCCGCCATATATATATATATATATATATATATATATATATATATATTCATATTTGTGTCCATACCCCTCCAGACGGAACCTGGGAACAGTTGGGAGATCGTAAAACGTTTCTTATGCCAGGCTATGCAATACGACAATCTGTATGTACCTTATATCATGAGCTTTGGTACCAGTCTAAACGAACATCGAGAAGAAGCTAAAACTGACATCACTTATCGTGAAAACATCAAAAAGGTGATCAAGGCTGAGCCCGCTTGTGGGTACATATACGTATATATATATATATATATATATATATATATATATATATATATATATATATCCTACAAATGGATATATCATATACATTTAGTGATCATTCTACTCTGTCCAGTAGGAAGAAAAATACCAACATTCTGTCATGAAACGCTTCAGATATATTTCAACCCGCTTCAGCCTGGACAGCTCGCTCTTCCCAACTCCAATTCATCCAATTGTAACAATAATAATAGACGCATGTGCGGTTGGTTGTAGGACAGTCCCTCCTCGAAAACTTCTTTGACAAGCGTTGTACCTTAGCTTTTTGTTTTTAAATTGGATACCAGATGTGT